GTCTTTGATGTCATAAAATTCGAGGTTCCTCGTTTCAACGTCCGACCTCTAAATCCGAAGACATTGAACTCGAAAAGACCCCGCTTTCGACAAGACAGAATTTACATCGAACTTGCTGCTATTATCGAAGATTTACTTGTATTGCAACTACGATATTGATGGAGTGCCGGTAGCTTATCTCGCGTTAACATTGCGCTGTGCTGTGCATTTATCGATACGCCACCAAACGATCAAATTGTAGACTGCCCAGGAACGAGATCACCGCCACGGGCCACCATGGCTCAGTCGCCACCTCATGCGACTTACACAATGCCGACCTCAAAAGAACGGCCTGAGACGAAATCGCAGCAATCACCATTGCCACAATCGCGCGAGCTCGGCCTCGCTACCCCCGAACTCACTGCGACGAAACCGTCGCCGTTTGCCAAGTCATGGCCGCACCTCGTTGCTGGAGGGTACGTCCGAGCAACTCTTCCAATCGATTTTCTCTTCGCAGGATAGAAAAAAATACAATAAACGAGCATCGGGTAAGAGGGGAGAGAGTCCTAGCTAACCCTGGTCTCGCAGTGTCGGAGGCATGACGGCAGCAGTTCTAACCGCACCGCTTGATGTCCTAAAAACACGACTCCAATCCGACTTTTACCAGGCACAGCTCCGAGCTGCTCGCGAAGCAGCCGAAGCAACGAGAGTAGGCCACGCGCGGCTCGGGCCCTGGCGATCCGCCACCTATCACCTCCGGGAGACGATGCAGATTCTGCGGGACGTGCACCGCATTGAAGGATGGCGCGCCCTATTCAAAGGCCTCGGGCCGAACCTGATCGGCGTCGTCCCGGCGCGCAGCATCGCCTTTTACGTGTACGGGACCGGCAAGCGGGCGTACTCGCAGTGGACGGGCGCGTCGCCCGAGAACCCCGGCATACACCTGGCGAGCGCGGTGACGGCCGGCATCGCGACGGGCACGGCCACGAACCCCGTCTGGCTCGTCAAGACGCGGCTGCAACTCGACAAGAACGACGCCGAGCGCAAGGGCGACGTGAGCGCGCGCCGGTACCGCAACAGCTGGGACTGCATCCGCCAGGTGATGCGCGACGAGGGCCCGCGCGGCTTCTTCAAGGGCCTGAGCGCCAGCTACCTCGGCGTGACCGAGAGCACCCTGCAGTGGATGATGTACGAGGAGCTGAAGCGCCAGCTGCGCCTGCGCGAGGAGCGCATCGTCCACAGCGGCCGCGAGAAGGGCTGGTGGGACCACACCGTGGACTGGACCGGCAACTTCATGGGCGCCGGCGCGGCCAAGGGGCTCGCGGCCATACTGACGTACCCGCACGAGGTCGCGCGGACGAGGCTACGGCAGGCGCCGCTCGCGGACGGCAGGCCCAAGTACACCGGCCTCGTCCAGTGCTTCAAGCTCGTGTGGAGGGAGGAGCGGTTCGTGGGCCTGTACGGCGGGCTCACGCCCCACCTCATGCGGACGATTCCGTCCGCCGCCATCATGTTCGGCATGTACGAGGGGATACTGAAGATACTGGGCGCCAAGAGCTAAGGGCTCGTGCGGTGGTTTTGTCCCACGTTCACTCGCCCGACGTCGACGGACGGAAAGTAGGATCGTACGTCAGTAAATAACTAACCCGTTTTCGGGAGAGGTTGCCCGGTACCGGGGAGTTGTATGATATGTATGCTCAAGGCTGAATTCGATACAGCCATCGAGAATGAGGAGTTTAAGATGGACTCCTGATCAGCTGGTGCTCATGCCTACGCACACAAGCTGTGCGAGAATTGGACTCGATACATCTGCACAACGCTCACCTACTCCCCACTATTGTATATCAGACAACTGTACTATAGAGAAACGACGGAATACGACGGGGCTGGTGGGGGAGACGAGGCAGGAAAATACGAAGACTACGGTCGACGAATAAGTTAGGTAGACGGCTGCGATAGCTAGCATACATAGGTAGGTATGGTATAGTCGTGCCGATCATCATACACGGCGTTATAGGGAATGGGCTACGAATTAGATGAGCATCAGTAGGTGGGCAAAAGGATAATAGGAAATAAACAACAAGATCCACTCAATTAACCATCATGGAGGACTTCAGGCGTGTCTGTGAGGTGTGTATACTGATGCTATATTGCCTTAGGGAGGCATTCTTGCTGTGGTTGGTGTGCAATTTTCATTGTGCGAGGTATTCCTATCTTCCGTTTGCGATAGCTGGGTAAGAGCAGTAAAAGGTCCAGATATTCGTGGAATTGCAGCGTTATCTCCCTCACTTCGCAAACTGAAAGCGGATTGCTAAGAGGAAAGGAGGCTCCGTTGAGGACCACATTCAGCAATTGAAAAGTACCTTCCTTCGGGCACGACACGGACCCCACTGCTATACCATCGCGAGGTGTATGTACCTAAGGTTCGTCTCCCGAAAAAGGGAGTCGCAAATAAATACCCGGCGACAAGCCCGCCCAACTAAGCGAGATAGGGGGCGCAGTAGCTTCAGCAGCTCGGAGCTGGAGGATGAGCCTGGAAGGCGATATCTTCTTTTCTCACAGTTTACTTTACTCTGTCTCCACTTAGTTATGTTTATTTTACGAATCATGCTGTTGAAAAAAGGCTTGGAGATAATTATCTGTTTTTCTCTATCTAGTTGTATGCATAAGGACACCCACTCACTACTATTAATTGCGCCTAGGATAACTACCTAGGATTGGAGTTTCGAGCTACGCATCCCTCGATTATCACCTCGAATGTGATATCTTCCAATCTCCTTGGGAAGTTTCCGCCGGTACCATTTCCGACCTCGTCTTTATCCTGCAACAAAATGGAGGTCGTAGGGAGTTCTAGCTCTAGGTTCAAGATTAGCATTAAAAGTAATTGAAGCATATTTGATGGAGTCTACAATTAATATATATCTAGTTCACTCTGCTGTTAAAGAGAAACTAGTCCAGGCACTGAGAGATGAGCGACCTACCCCTAGTCGGCAGCTTGGACGCCGAGATCTATGATCAGGGTACATTGAAACCCCCTTTCCATGACATGTAGCAGTAGTCTAATCAGTAAGTCAAATGCGAATGCATATATTCATCGTCTTTAAAAAAACACTATGGAATCTTTAGTAAATATTTTATTGAAGATATTGATTATGTACCCTGTATTAATACCAAAGAAGAAGAGGAAGAAAAAAGAAACTTGTTAGCCGCCTAGGGAATCGAACCCCAGAGTCTAGCGATCCAGGTTATCGGGAGAATGTAGGTTTTAGGTTATGAGATACGTGGTAGAGTGGAAGAACGAGTCGCTAGACCATGCCAACCCGGCCTTTGGGTCATTGCTTTAGGTATTCTACTGTCATCATTGTTCATATGTGTATCTTACGCTGGCCGGTCAAAGTGTTGGCTTCGGTCAGACTGGATGATAGCGAGTTGGGTGAACTCTATTCAGCACAGGGACACGCTATGGTTGTCTGAACACAGACTTGCTCTCTTTTTGCTAGCGCTTGCTGTGTCGAGCGGCGTGTCTCTTAACTTGAGCGAAGAGAACGATGGATGTATGGAATAAGACTAGCAGCTATAGATGTGGCAGCCGCTTTACATGGAACCCAATTCAAGCTCATCCCCCTCTACGAGCTTAGTTTTTAATGTTCAACAGCTTCTTGTACTTTTATACGAGGGGAAAACCTGATAGTCTAGCACTTCACTTCTGTTAATCTTTTGGGGGTTCAGCATGAAATAAGGCAAAAAATTGTTGGTTCTTTACCGAGGACAAGGATAGGGGAATCTTTTGTGTGTCGTATATCAATTAGCATAGAATTGATCATGGTGATTTAAACAAAATCAAGTCTGGTAGTTTTTGTAGGATATGGCTATAATTTAAAATACCATAATATGGATGTTATTACAATGGACGTGGACTGGTCACCTGGTTGAGGTCAACCTAGCATAGCAAATCTGTGCAATGCAATTCGTACTCCTAGATCTCTGTGTGATTGGTAATTTCAGAGTAACAGGCACAAACCTGGAGTTGTAGGGTATGCGAGATAGATTACCGCCTGACACATCTAGAGTCGAATAGTAAGTATACTACATGGCTTCGAGTAAGGTGATGACTGCCTCTCATATATACAAAGCATGCTGAGTTAGTATCTATCTACGCAGGCACACCAAAATACTTACGTTTCGTCAGGAGTCTAATGGCAGAGTCTTCAAGAGACAGAACTCTGATAGGGTCGCCAGGAAGCGGACAGAATAAATGACGCTTGTGTATATGGCCTTGGGGTTGCTTGCGGCTCCTAATTCATAGATAGGGATCCCTATGCCATAACGCAGTTCCTTCTAGTGCTCTCATTATTGCATTGTAACATGCTTATCGTTACCATACGAGTTGGGTAGGCGTGTGGTGTGATGATATCTTGAGTTCGTACACATGGACCCGAGGATTTGGCCAACACGCAACCGTTATAAATCATTCAAACACACCAATCTTTCACGTACGACCATATGATCTAGAGAACTCGGAATCCCGTCTGCTCTTCCATAGATAAGCTAGATACTGCCAGATTAGTAGTTGGATCGGTGACGACCAGCGAATCCCTGGTGTTGTACGTTTTAGCATTTTTTGACATTTTTATTTTATGTTTTGTCTACATGTAACATCGTCCGGACCTTTTTTCCCTAGTTTATAACAGAGAGTTGAGTGCAGCAATATTGTAGGTAATTGGACGTCGCGCGATGATGTCTGAGTCGGAGTTTGAAGGGATATGGGGTATTTTGGTGACAATACTAAAAGACCGCCCGGCGCTTGGCACCCTAGTGGTAGCCTGTAGGTAGATGGGCGTGGTGTGCACTTGTATTTTTCATAGGATAATTGACAGTATTGTTTGGAAATATGCGCAATAGTGAAGACGCATTCGCTGGGAAAGTTCTGTGACACAAGTGCCTTCTTACCATGAATCTTCTTTCAGACATAATGCGTGTTAATTTAAACAGCTACTAATTGTGGGGTGACCCAAGAGGGGTCCTCCGTAGCTCAATTGGTTAGAGCGTCTGACTGTTACTCAGTAGCGATCAGGAGGTTGGAAGTTCGAGCCTTCCCGGGGGAGGATACTTTTTCTTTCTTTTTCTAGCAATTCTATAATATTAATTTTATTTTACTGTGTAGTATCGTTACGTCTCAATTTCTTAACTTTTAGTTTGGGAGTTGGATGGTATAGGATGATTAGTACTTTTGAATAATTAATTTTTAATGAATCTCCGCGAGAAGAGTCAATAAAATGATCGATGAAATTGAATTGAATTTTACCATGTTTTTGGGTAGTCAATGATCGCTATCTCCTGGGCTAGTTTTCGTCCGCTTCTCTCGCCCCCGAACAAGTGATATATCCATACGGGCATCATGAGAAAGGTATACACATAATCATCCTCTGCTTCGCTAGACCCTATCACGGCAACATATTTACTGTTCCTTCCCTCATTTGGTTCTCCTCATTATCGTCGTCGTAATGTCGATCATAATGTCGTTTCAGTCTCCCAGCTGCTACGCTTCGATGCCACCACCTGCAAATGGGTTTCCGCAAGCTGTTTCGGCAGCCGCTTCTGGAGCTTTCGGGGTGTGCGACGGCTATTGGATGCGTGCGACCCGTTGCTGCTATTAGTCAACGAGTCGAAAAGACGCAGTCACCAGGCGTTGCGGTCCCAGTTAGGATCTATAGATTAGGGTCAGCTGATTAAAAACGTCCTCGTCGTGAGTTCGTAATGGGACCCCCTTTCGCTAGTCCAACTCCAGTTCCAAGAAAAACTCTCAATTGGGTGTTCCTAATCCACTGGACAAAAGGGACAGGAGCAAAAGTAAAATGCCAGGAGAACAGGAAATCCCACCTTGTACAAACGCAGCCAAAACCTTACTGCCAGTCTGCAGGAGTGGGTGTCCGACGACGATCTTGAGAAACTTCTCGAGTCCGGCGCGGCGGCCCTCGATGACATCGTCGGAGAAGCGATTGGTGAAGACCTTGCCGGGGAGCGGAGGGATGGTGACGCGGGCACTTTCGCGCTCGAGGATGTCGCGAAAGTACTCAAAGTCGCTGTAGCGGCGGCGCACCGACGACTGTCGTAGCTTAAAGGCTGGGATGTTGGTCCGGCATACGATCTCGTAATCGGTGTACATGTTGCGCGATGTGCCATGCGTGCGTGGGTTGCGGACCTGTTTTGTGTGAAAGGCAATTGGTTAGTCTTTTGTTACTGTTGTGAGCGAGGTAGATTCCATCGTGTCGCGTCATGTCATTTAGGGGGTAAGACGCAGGGAAGAAAAGGGTATGCCTAGAGCGCAAATGAATTGCTGATTTGATCCATCGTAAAAGATAAAGTTGGAGTATATTTAAAGAAAGAGTACCTCAATCTCGAGAAAGTTCTCGGGCGGTCCGTAGATCTCCTCGAAGGACTGCTGGCGCGTGTCCGGCATGGACTGCATGATAGGACGGGTTAAACCAGCCATACCGCGCGGTGAAGTCGCTGTCGGGGATGTTGGTGACTTGGGCGACTTGGGCGGTGATTGTGCCGCGTCCCCGGTGGCCGCGGGGACCTGGTGCTGGTCGGTAGACGCCGTTTTGGCGGTTGCTATGTTTTCTCTCTTGGTGGTTCGCGCTTCGGTATTTTTGGTAGAGGTCCCCGCCCCTCGTTAAGTGGACAGACAAAAGTCTTGGTAAAAGAGTTGACAGAAAACAAAGATATATACCTAAGAACTGTGGCGGTAGCTCGTGTAAGGAAAAATTGGGGGTGAGGCGTGAAATGCGGTTACTTGGTTGGTAGGTTGGTCTGGTGGAGAGGGGAAATATGTTAAGGTGAGAGTATTCAGACGTCGTTGGCGGTGGAAAGTTCAATTGGATGCAAGTGGAATTGAGGCGGGTGGGGTCTTAACGGTGGAGATTTGCCAAGCATGTCGATTTCCCAGAATCTGCAGGAGGTTACATAATTGATGTTGTATGTACTTGCAGATATACTTGCAGGTACTTGGTAATCCAGGTTAATCTCAGGCAAATAAACGACTAAGCAAAGTACACTTCATGTCATTTGCGAAAGCGGGGAAATTTGACGCGGGTGTTTGCTTGATCTGTTCATCACCCCCCGGCTGACTAATGTGGAGACACTGACGCAGAATTCAACTACATACAACCTTTGTTCACAACAATGTCGACAGCATCAATACTAGCAGCTTTCTTTGCACATGCAAATATCAATTATAGAGTGATCATTAAACAGGTGGAATCTTGGTAATAGTTAACGATCTGTGATTATCTTTTCATACTGTCCGTGACAGTCGGCATGAATATGGAATCGATGTAAAAAAAAAAAAGCTATCTTAAACACCGGAGTGCAGGTATTAAGAAGCTACGAAAGAAAAATATTACAGAACTACCAAAGGCAAATAAATGCCTAGGTATGTCGACAACGACGTGCCGACACCTGAATGGTTCATTATCCGCGATCCGTAATCAATCATTCTCATCATGAGACGTCGTAAGGATCAAAACCGCCCTCCCCCTTTTCCACCTGCCTATCCACCCCTTCCGTCGAAAATGAAAGAAAACAAACATCCTGGTTCTGGTCAGTGCGTGAACGGGGACTATCTGACCGAAATGTTACAAAAGGATCGTAATGTGTGCCGAAGAACATATGAAAGAGTGTCGTGTGGACCAACGCCCCTTGCAGAAAAAAAGAAATGCAAACACTGCCAATCTCAGATATATGAGAATGAGTATCTCGAAGTAAGTCTTCCGTTAACGAAATAGTCTCCTAGTTCCCAGAGACATCGAGAGCCATCAAGAGTAACAGATTTACTGTAGTCGGCGCCGAGGAGTATCTCCACGCGCGTAGATGCGACGAATGATTGCCTCCAATGTTGTCAGTTCCTTATGCGCCGCGGCAGCTAGAGTAGTGGCATTCCACTCCTCTAGCACAGGAAGATCCAGTTCAGCCCAATAGTATCCGAAGTAAGGGGAAAGAAGGACCTGGGAGTCCTGTATCTCGCGTCGTCGGATGATGGACAAGTCGTTGTACTCTCTTGTAGTCTCGTCACGGATGAGATCAACATAATACTATTTTGTGATTAGCACATAGGCAATAGATAGGCATAGGGATGGAAACTTGACATACCTCAACTACGTCCAAGGGAACCCTGGGATCAACGGTTATACCATACATATGCTGCCACTGACAGGCGAGGCGAGGTAGACCAAAACGCCGGATTTTGTCCTCAGGCCAGTTCGCTTGAAAGCTGATGTTGTCCTTCTGACAGATGGTGAAACCTGGGCATCGCATTGCCGCCCCGACAAATCGGTCCAACAACTGAGGTGTCAAACGCTTGTGGTCCGGCTCTCGCTTGATTTTGTCGACCAGTACCTGCACCATGCTAACCGCAGCTTGGTATACCAAGTCACGCTCACCGATAGTGATAAGCTTGCACTTATCCCAAGGCATCTTTTTGATCGTGCTGATCATACAATCGTATGGACGCTCTTTGCAATTGGATGAGAAGCTGTTCTGTTCGAAGATAGCATTAGCAAGCGAGAATAGCCAGATAGATAACGGTGCAAAATAAATAAAGGAAACACTCACTCGTTGGGGGTTGTCGGCGTATTTCACCAACATGGTCATTTCCTCCCGGGTCACGAAGCTCTGGAAGTTATCCCAACTATATTTGGAGTTCTTCGTTGCAATGCCTGTGCGCCAGTTCATATTTCGTGCAGAGGGAAACAGTTGTTTCATCATATCTGCGTAGGAAGACATCTCCACTTCGATAGCGCGCTTGCCGATACGCGGGATACGACCCTCGGTTAACTGATCGTCAAACCTTCTCACGGCGCTGTGCGCATCTCGAGCTGTCATGAACTCCACATAGATCTCGTTAGTCTTGGAGGTAGTACGATCCATGGTAATATGGACAGGCTCATCAACGTCGTTCAAGATTCGTGCATTGCGACCTAAGTAGGAAATTACTTCGGCTCGGGTTACATCGAAAGGAGCCTAGAGAGACAATGTCAGTTACCATTTCTAAAAAGCTTCAGCTCGAGCAGGGGGTCTTCCTGTAGATAACTTACACCTAGGATACGAATAACATTGCAGTTGTTGTTACGATCCATCACTCGCCACATTTCGACAAAGGGAAAGTTGCGAGGATCCAATAGAGTCTGAGCTGAAGGGACGCCATTAGACTGTAAGATCTGGTTCAGCTGTTCGGAACGTTGTGGTTGAGTTTGATCAGTAACGAGCCCGGATTCCAACCCTCCAGAGGTAACCGGCGCCAACTGCTGGTTGACAGACTGCTGGCCAATAGACTGCTGGCCAATAGACCCCTGGCTCATAGACTGCTGGCCAATAGACTGCTGGCCGATAGACCCCTGGCTCATAGACTGCTGGCCAATAGACTGCTGGCCGATAGACCCCTGGCTCATAGACTGCTGGCCACTAGACTGTTGGCCAACAGACTGCTGACTTGCAGGCGACTGACTTGCAGGCGACTGACCGATCAACTGTTGAGTAACCGGCCGCTGACCTACCAATTGCCGATCTACTGCCTGACGACCTGACGCCTGTTGACCTGCCGACTGTTGACCAGCCGACTGTTGGCTAGAGCCACCACTGTCATTAGGAGGAGCTACACCTTCCAGGGCACTGACAATTAGCCGTCCAGGAGTGTCCCTTGTCAGCCAACGGATGAGATCGCCATCCGTCACACTACCCGCAAGCCCCGTATTGAAGCCTGTAATCGGGGGAGGTGGGGGTGACGGTGATTTCGGACGTTTTCCGCCAAGCTGATTAACTGCCTTCTGCTTGATCGGGCTAGAGCGGCCGGGACGAGAAGTGATGCTCTCAGATGATGCGCTTTCCCACTCTATAGGAATGTTAGCTTGGGCCCGGTACAAGCTAGCTGCTGGAGAAATACCTGAACCACCATCGCGCTGTGTGTGATTGGAAACACCCTGTTGGGGAGAAGGTTGATGGCCAGCGAGCTGGCTGGGACTCCCGGTGGGCAAGCCGTGTCCTCCCTGTTCACGCAGACTGCGAATAGTGCGACCGATCGGTTTGGAAAGGGCCTGGAGCTGGAGAG